GCCCCCCAGTGGCCCCTTGCTATGGAAGGAGGCGGCAGCTTCGGCGACAGAACACGGTGTGCGTGGTTGGGGCAGACCCTGCTCCTGCCAGGCTACCGCGTGCATGGTGCGGAGCCCGTCCCTTCCCGCTTGGGAGCTTCTCCTCTGCAGGTGACAACCACGGAACACAACAGGGAGCATCATGAGAATGATTGTTGCAGGTAATGACGGTGTTGCTCGGAGTCTTGAAATCTGCCTTTAATGGCTCCGAGGCCAATATTCTAACATGGTCTGAAACAGGTGCGGGGAAGGCACAGCCCTGCTCCTGACTCCCCCATCCATCTGAAACCCTTCACAAAGAGCTTGACCAGGAAGGGGAAGAGGAGGGTTTTAAATGGACAGATGTGTTGTTCAGTGGCAGGAGCTGGGTGGGACTTAGGTCAAAACACTACTCGTGTGCCCTCACCTCTACCGTTCGTGGGCCGGCCCAGCACCCTGACGCTGTGCTGGAAAGATGCGCGCCCCAAACGTATGTGGAACGAGCCCCTTCTGCCGGCTCACGCTCACCAAAAGCTCATCTGTCCTTGCAGGTGAACTGAAGGAAATCAAGCAAGATATCTCCAGCCTGCGCTATGAGCTTCTGGAAGAGAAATCTCAAGCTACCGGGGAGCTGGCAGACCTGATCCAACAGCTCAGTGAGAAATTTGGAAAGAACTTAAACAAAGACCACCTGAGGGTAAACAAGGGCAAAGACATTTAGCAGCCCCCCTCGGCATCTGTGACTTCTACCAGCATTCCCAGGCCAGGATGGATTTCCTAGCCACCAGGCCTGGCAGGGAAGGGTCCTGGGCCCACTCCTCTAGGACACTACGGGGACCCACTGGCTCCATCCTGAGCAGACGTGCGTGCACCGTCATGGCCTGCCTTGACCCGGAACTGTTGTGAATCTAGGCTGTTGGGTAAGAAAGGCCAGCACAGGAGGACGGGAGGAGATGCCCCTCTGACACGTGTGAGACCTTTGGTCCAGTCACAGGGACACACGTGAGGAAGAGGCCTTCTTGGATGCACACACGTGCCCTCCCACTGCACACGGACCGCATCCATCTCTGTCTGTGTCCCAGGAAGACAAACCACCTCATCCCATGCACCCCTCCTCACTCCCTCCCCACCACCCACCCGTATCCAAACAGAACCGGGAGGTGACCTGTGATCTATTCTTAAGTGCCAGACGAGAACACAGATAGCCTAATAGCAAAATAGTTCTATTTGTTTATAAAAAAAAAAATTTAAAAATGCTAAATCAAAAATTGTACTGTAGGTAGCACTGTTTAGAGAACAACAACAAAATCCAAATGATGTATTTTTACCTTTATTATGATTATCTTGTATTTACTATTTTTACCTAAAATGGGAAGAAATAAAATTACCTCATAATAGCCTGGGGAGCCTCCGTCAATGTGCTGCCCTCCTGCTGTCCTGTGGCCTGTCTGGAGGTGGCCTCAGAAGCCCAGGGGCCCGGCACTTCTCTGGAAGGAGAATGGGGCAGGTGTGAGGGGGGGGAGGTACCAACCACGCCACCCACCCACCCACCCCCCCCAACCCCGGCCGCGATCGTGTAGCCAGGACCCCTGCCTTCCAGACCTACGGAGCCCAACCTCACCAAGGTCAGGAAGGAGATCCAGAAAAAGGTGAGGGAAGCAAAACATCTCTTCCCACCCACCTCTCGCCCGCTCTCCCTGTGTGGGAGGGGAAGGGGTGCCCGTGAACCCCTCCCCCCACACACATCTTTCTCAAGGAGCAACCTGCGTGTGAGTGGGGAGAACGGCCACCAGAGGGAGCCCCCGTCCCAAACAACACCTATTCAGAGCAGGTTGGAGAGGATGCCATTGGATTCAGGGAGAGGCCCCGGGCCCCAAGGGGACGCTTACTAGTAACACTAGCCAGACATACTGAGCGAGCACTTGCTGGGTGCGAGGTACGGTGCTGAAATCTCTGCCCGCATCCGTCCACTGAATCCTCAAGGCAACCCTGGGAAGAGAAAGAGGCTCAGGGTCACAAATTCAGATGCCCTGCAGACACACTGGGAGGGCAAAATGTGTGTGTGTGTGTATGTCTTGTACATGTATGTGTATGAGGGGGCTTGTGTTTCACGAGGCACACTGCATCTTCAGAGATCAAACATTTTTTACTTAACACTGCTCTAAGAAAAGAGCAGATGAGATGGGGTAATAAATCGTGAAGTTGGTGCTGGCATGGAGGAAGGGGGGAGAGCCATGACACACAGAGCAGCTGAGCCCTACCAAAGTGGCCCACAGACACAGCCCAGCCAACTGTTGCCATAAAGAATACAGGCCCAGCTTTGCCAAATCTTCCCAATTTTGTGGGGGGTAGCCCATATTTGTTGAGTCCCTGGCAGCCAAGAAATGGGGCTTTGCACCTGGGCTGTCCTGGCACCACCGTCCAGAGCTCCAACAAGAGGGAAACAGAGGTGCCCGATGGGTGCTTGGGGCATACTGTATGCTCACAGTCTGGGGGTTTTTCACCTGGGGTCCTTGTGAGGGGTCGTAGATGAATTTCAAAACACCTGCAAATCCTCAAGTGCCCATCAGATCGTGTGCTTGTCTTTGTGATGGTATGTTGTTCTGGCTTATCCCAAATACTCACCCATGGACCCCTGAAGCCTGCAGAGGATGACAGAATTCATTCCGCAGATATTTACCAAATCCCTTGCCAAGTGCTGAGGATGACACACATCAGCATCCAGGGGGGCTCCTTTTTAAGCCTGGACTCTGAATAAGAAAGCTGATGTGCTTTGTAGGAAAAGCAACTGATTTATCCAGGGGACAAATTACCAGCACTTCTGGAAGATTTCCTTTCGGATCCCTCACTTATCTTCATCAGAATGCTAATAAACACTTGGAAGATGCATTATTCAATTTCCCTATCTGCCTTCAGCCAGAGGCAGGTGGCAACCCCATTTTCAAATCCTGGGGTGCCCTTTTCTTTTCAAACCTAAGCCTCAAATCTTCCCTCTATAGAGATAAAGGAAAACAAGTCCCACTGAGTAATTAAAAACTGAAAAGGAAACCTGGCACCATCCATTAGGTTTTGGATGCCGCGTCTGGGAGGTAAAGGCAGCCCAGGAATGGACTCACGGCTGCCAGAGAGAAGTAAGGCAGAAAGGGACCCCTCTTTCGTGGAAAGCCGTTGCAGAGGCCTTGGAACTGAGGGCTGGCAGAGTTATCAGCTGGAGCTGAGGCAAGAGCTTAGTGATTTTCCAGGCACTGACAGCCTCCCTCCCTCACCCCTTCTCCTTGGCTCCTGTTGAATTAACCGGGTGGGAGAAGACAAAGCAGGAGAGTGAAGAGTGAAGCCTGAGAGGGGCTCACAGACAAAGGAGGAGGAGAAAGAGCCCCGGCCCTCCTGGAAAGCCCCCAGACCCACGGGCTTCTATGCTTTCCCAAGCACCCTATCCGTTCCCTTGGAGCAGGCCGCACAGCTGTCCATCTGTAGGTCTGTAACGTTCCCGTGTGCTTGTAACATCTGTCTTCACTGCTTGCGGGCAGGAAGCTCCACGAGGGGGTCTGGGTCTGTTTTATGGCCACTGTGCCCTGGCACCGGGCCAGAGAATAGCCACTGAGTGAACCACGGCTGGGGCCACAGTTTTCTAGAATTCCTTCAGATGGCACCCCTGGGCTCTGAAAATCTGGTGAATTTGCAGGAAACACACGTTTCCCTCCCGGCCACGGCATGGAAGGAGCCCCCGCTCCGGCACCCTCTGTCCCTACGAAGCTGCTTCAGACGGGGCCGGGAGCATGCAACCACAGTGCAGGCCACCAGGGGACTTGGGGCATGGTGGCCCGGGCCCCGGCTCAGGGGGGCCAGCGGTTAAGCAGCCAGTTCTCCAGCGACTTGTCACCTCCTAATGGCTCCTAAGAGGACTTGACAAATCCTAACACTTCCTGGGCAAAAACCCCCAATTAGGCCCCAGAGCTATTCCTAAAGGACGTGCGCTCACACACTTGAGAGAGCACGGCCGGGCTCCTGTGCCCGGCAGTCGCAGAGTATCTCCCCCGCTCCCACAGACGCCAGAAGACAAAACAGGGGCCAACCAACACACCCCAAACCCTGGGCTCAGGGACATTCCCTCATGCGAGGGCCCCTGTGTGGAAGCTCCTGCAAGAGGGGCAGGCTGTGGGAGGCGTCTTCGGGTCCGCTTGCCCCCAGGAGGCCGAGACACCTTGCCCTGCTCAGAGCACCCGGAGTCTGGTTAAAAATAAGCGGCGTCGGGCCGTCACTCTTCAAAGGGTTCATTAAGGCTTATGTAAAGTGTGAGTCTGAGGCTCCCAGAGGCTGACAGGAATTAGGAGTTGGATCATCTGAGGCAGGGAGGCAACGCCCCCATTCTATGTTTATCCCATGTCTTCGCCTCATCCCTTGGAGAGTGAGTATGCTGGAGGGAAGGGCCTCCAGGAGAGACACAGGGAATGTACGTCAGCTCAGGCAGCAAAACCCCTGCTGCCCCTGACCTGCAGACAAGGCAAGGGCCCAGGCTGACCCAGCCTCATCCCAGCCCTCGGGAGTGGAGGCCACCTGAGCCGGCTCTTCCTGAAGGAGCCCTACCCACTCTTCGCTGGGGATTTCTCCCTTTGCTTCAGGGAAGGAAGGACGCAGACACAGGAAAAGAATTAAAGTGTCCGGAGCTGGGGTCTCCTGAGCCCTGAGTCTTTAAGAAAAGGAAAGGACGGAGGAAGAATCACAGAGTTGGAAAGAAATGGTGTTTGAGGAGCACAGGGTTCTCCCCTACCCGGAAATGCTTCCCTGCGACGGGGGGCAGGACAGGAAACGAGGCCGGGTCCTGAGAAACGAAGGTCAAGGCAGCCGGGCCCTGCCTGTGAAGGAAAAGCAATCCATGCCCAGAGACATGGGGACCACAACTGGAAGGCCACATCCTCACCCAGCCCAGCGGGACCCCATCCACACCCAGGGAGGCTGGAGGAGGAAGAAGGAAGGGCTCTCCCAGCCCAGGCAAGGGCCAAGTGCACTCTCATGAGGATACGGTTAAAAAGTATGGATTCTACCACAACGAGTTGATAAAATTTCAGCAAGCAAAGATTAAAAAAAAAAAAAAAAAGTATGGATTCCACGTCCTCGGAGTGAGTCAGAAATAACTGGATCCAACAGAGCCTGCTGTGTCTGGACGGGGACGCAGGGTCAGCTGTGCCGACTGACCAGAGAGGCCCATGGGTCCTGTGGTGCTGACCCCACACACACCCGGGCCAATGGCCCACCTGCCCCAGCAGCGTACTTGGAAGTAGAAGGCAGAAAAAGGCAACTTATAGCCAAATAAAAGTTTACCACGACACTCTCGGGCATCTGAGTGCAGATACGGACCCTCACAGAGTAGACAACATTTCCAACTTGGCCGTGTCCAACCCAACCCCAGCTGTGCATCCGCACAGATAAAGCAGAGGGGAGGCAGGAGCAAAGGGGAGGGAGACGGGGAGGCCACGGGACACAGGCTTTGTACAGGTCTTGAGCCACCCCATGGCTGGAAACACATCCCACCACCATCTCCCAGGCACAGGCTGGCCCCTGACCCCAACTTAACCAGCCAGAGTACCCAGCACCCCAGAAACCAACACGGCCCCAAGCAGGACAATCGCATTCCCACTTTGAATGTATATGCCTATGGACACTGGGAAAGAGAAGTCCTTCTTCCTACTGGGGTCGCTGAACAGGAGAATATGAATCTGAGAC